GTAAGATGATCAACCCTCACTTAGAAAGACAAATGGGATGTGCATTGGACGTAGAAGAAAACAGGTAACAGGACAGGAGCCTACCGAAGAGGGCCTCTGAAAGACTCTACTTAGCAGTGTATCAAAGCAGATACTAAGACTCATAACCAAACCTTTGACAGAGTACAGAGAATCATATAAAAGAAGGGGGAGTTAGTTTGATGTGGAAAGGATAGGAGCTTCATAAGGACCAAATATATCTGGGCACAGCGGTCTTTTTTGAGACTGATACTCCACCAAGGACCATGTATGGATATAGAACCTCTGCTCAGATGTATCCCCTGGTAGCTCAGCAACCAATTGGTTTCCCATAGTAAGGGGAACAGGGTCTATTTGTGACAGGAACTCAATGGCAGGCTCTTTGATCTTCCCACCCCCTAAAGGAGGAGCAGGCCTGCTAGACCACAGAGGAGGACTTTGCAGCCAGTCCTGAAGATACCTGATAAAACAATGTCAGATGAAATGGGAGGAAGTCCTCCCTAAGCAGTGGACTTGGAAAAGGGCAGGGAGGAGATGAGGGAGGGAGGGAATGAGGGAGCAAGATATAGCTGGGATACAAAGTTAATAAAATGTAACTAATAATAAAAATTTTAAAAAAGGAAAAAAAGAAAATAAAACATCTTTAAAGAAAATAAAAAGAAATAGTGCTACCTCGAGATCCAGACATACCACTTCTAGAGCATATCCAAAATATGCTCAAGTGCACAACAAAGCCATTTCTTCAACCGTGTTCATAGTAACTTTATTCGTAATAGGCTGAATCTGGAAATAACACACATGTCCCTCAGTAGAGGAATGGATACAGAAAGTATGGTACCTTTACACAATGGAATACTACTCAGCAATTAAAAACAAGAAAATTGTGTAATTTGCAGGCAAATGGTGGGACCCAGAAAATTCTAAGTGAGGTATCCCAGAAGCAGAAAGACACACGTGGTATATACTCACTTATAAGTAGATTTTAGACATAAAATATAGGATAAACATACTAAAATCTGTACACTTAAAGAAGCTAATCAAGAAGGAGGACCCTTGGTAAGAGGATCAATCCTCACTCAGAAAGGCTAACGGGATGGACATCTGAAGAGGAAGAAAATAGGGAACAGGACAGGAGCCTACCACAGGGAGCCTCTGAAAGACTCTATCAGGTAGAATATCATAGCAGATGCTGAGACTCATAGTCAAACTTTGGGCAGAGTTCAGGGATTCTTATGAAAGAAGGGGGAGACAGAAAGATCTGGAGGGGACAGAAGCTCCACAGGGAGAGTAACAGAACCAAAATATATGGGCCCAGGAGTCTTTTCTGAGTCTGAAACACCAGCTCAGGATCGTGCATGGAGATAACCTAGAACCGCTGCACAGATGTAGCTAGCCCATGGCAGCTCAGTCTCGAAGTGGGATCCCTAGCAAAGGAAATAGAGACTATCTCTGACATATACTCAGTGATTAGCTCTTTGATCACCTCCCCCTGATGGCATAGCAGCCTTACGAGGCTACAGAGGAAGACAATGCAGTCAGTCCAAATGAGACCTGATAGGCTAGGGTTAGAGGGAAGGGGAGAAGAACCTCCCCTATCTGTGGACTTGGAGATGGGCATGGGAGAAGATGAGGGAGGGTAGGATTGGGAGGCAAGGAGGAGGGGGCTATAGCTGGGATACAAGGTGAATAGCTGTAATTAATTTTTTTATTTGGAAAAGAAGCAGTGTTTCTCATGCATAAAAATTCTCTTCTGTTTAAGTCAATCACCTGAACAATTAATGTACTAATTAGAAAAGGGATATTTACTCTCTCTATTATTTTTTATTCTTATGATGCCTGCCATATGAGATTCTCTAAATTCATTTGTTTTTCTTCTTATAACTCACTTGTATACTAGAAGCAAAAAATATCCAAGCGATTCATACATTTTTCATATGACACAACATAAAACAGATTTTTCTTACAGTTTTTGTTTAAATTTAATGTATGTATGTATAATAGATTTAGATTTAATCTACCTCTTTATTCCTTATATTATCAACTCGAGAATAGAGGGGATATATAGAAGTGTTCTGAGAGAGGGTAATGATTAACATAGTAAAAATGGCCATCTTACCAAAATCAATCTACAGATTCAATGCAATTCCTATCAAATTACCAACACAATTCTTTACAAGCCTTAAAAAGAAAAATTCTCACCTTCATATGGAACAACAAGAAACCCAGAATTGCTAAAACAATTCTCTACAGTAAAAGATCTTCAGGATGTATCTCAAGCTGTACTATAGAGCAACAATACTAAAACTGCATGGTACTGGCATAGAAACAGACTGGTGGATCAATGGAATCTAATAGAAGACCCTGACATAAATCCAAACACTTATGAACACCTGATTTTTGACAAAGATGACAAAACCATTCAATGAAAAAAAAGACAGCATCTTCAACAAATGGTGCTGGTCTAACTGGATGTCTACATGTAGAAAATTGAAAATAGATCCATACTTATCACCCTGCACAAAACTAAAGTAGATCAAAGACCTCAACATAAAACCAGACACACTAAATTGATTAGAGGAAAAAGTGGGGAAAAGCCTTGAACTCATTGGCAGAGAGGACAACTTCCTGAACAGAACACCAACAACACAGGCTCTAAGAGCAACAATCAATAAATGGGACCTCAAGAAACTGAAAAGCTACTGTCAAGCAAAGGACACTATCTTCAGAACAAAACAACTACATACAGATTTGGAAAGGATCTTCACCAACCCTATATCTGACAGAGGACTAATATCCGGTATATATAAAGAACTCAAGAAGTTAAACAGTAAAAAATCAAGTAATCCAATTTAAAAATGGAGTACAGAGCTAAACAGAGAAATATCAAATGGCAGAGAACACTTAAAGAAATCTTCAACAGCTTTAGCCATCAGGGAAATGCAAATCAAAATGACCCTGAGGTTTTACCTTAGACCAATCAGAATGGCTAAGATCAAAAACTCAAGTGACAATACATGCTGGAGAGGTTGTGCAAAAAGAGGAACCCTCTTCCACTGCTGGCAGAATGTAAACTTGTACAACCACTGTGGAAAGCAATCTGGCACTTCCTCAGATAACTAGGAATAGTGCTTCCTCAAGATCCAGCTAAACCACTCCTAGGCATATATCCAAAAGAGGCTCAAGTACACAATAAGGACATTAGCTCAACCATGTTTGTAGCAGCTTTATTTGTATAGCCAGAAGCTGGAAACAACCCAGATGCCCCTCAGTGGAGGAATGGATGCACAAATTGTGGTATATCTACACAATGGAATATTATTCAGCAATAAAAAAAACAAGGAAATCATGAAATTTTCAGGTAAATGGTGGGACCTGGAAAGGATCATCCTCAGTGAGTTGTCTCAGAAGCAGAAAGACACACATGGTATATACTCACTCATATAGACATATAATATAGGATAAACCTACTAAAATCTGAACATCTAAAGAAACTAATCTAGAGGGAGGACTCTTGCTAAAATGCTCAATCCCTATCCAGAAAGGCAAAGAGGATAGACAACAGAAGAAGGAGAAAAGAGGGAACAAGTCAGGAGCCTGACACAGAGGACCTCTGAAAAGCTCTGCCCTGCAGACTATCAATGTAGATACTGAGACTTATGGGCAACCTTTGGGCAGAGTGCCGGGAATCTTAGGAAAGAAGTGGGAAACAGGAGAACTGGAGAGGACAGGAACTCCACAAGGAGAGCAACAGAACCAAAAAATCTGAGCACAGGGGTCTTTCCTGAGACTGATACTCTAACCGAGGACTATGCATGGAGATAACATAAGACCCCTGCACAGATGTAGCCCATGGCACTTCAGTATCCAAATGGGTTCCATTGTAATAGGAACAGAGACTGTCTCTGACATGAACTGATTGGCCTGCTCTTTAATTACCTCCCCCGGTGGGGGGGAGAAGCAATTACCAGGCCACAGAAGAAGACAATGCAGCCACTCCTGATGAGACCTAATTGACTAGGATCAGAAGGAAGGAAAAGAAGACCTCCCATATCAGTGGACTTGGGGAGGGGCATGCGTGCCGAGGGGGAGGAAGGGAGGGATTGGTACAGGAGGAGGGAGGGAAACATGGGGGGGATACAAAGTGAAAAAAGTGTAATTAATAAAGTATTTTTAAAAAAGAAAAATACATGTTGAAATTAGTTAAATTCTTATGTGTATATGATATTCATAAAGATGTGTGCATGATTGTATGTGTGAGTGATTTTTGCATGTCAGTGTGAAAAGAGCTGCAGCTCTGCATGCATTTTCAATTTAGAAGACAATCATAAGGCGTTTTTCTTCACTTTCTGCTCTTTGTTTCTTTTTATTTCCAGCTACATATTCCAAGCTAGATATCACGCAGCACTTAGAATCTCCTGAGCCCTTTCTCTATTGGTCAGTAGGAAGTGCCCACTGAAACCACTACCACATCTTTGTGTTCATTCTTGTGTCTGCACTCTGTCTTAATTCTTTCACAGTAAGTGCTTCATCCTGTAAGCTATTCCCTAGGATCTTAAATACATGATGTTAAACAACAGCAAGAGCCTGAGCCTTGAATGTTTGTCACAGACCAAGCTGGGAGCCAGAATAAGATTGTGGGATGATCTTGTTATCACTTTAGTTTGTGCAAAGGAAGAAGAAAGATTAGAAATGTGTATATCAATACTATGTGCCAGATTTTCTGGTAAAATATTAGGTACTTTTTTCATAAAAAATTCTCTGGAAAATATAAAATGTAAGCATCATAATGTCGGCAAAATGAGCGTTTTGAGTAAAACAGTATATATTCATTCTGGGCTCATACGAGGCTTTATATCAGTAAACTGGTTATATTAAAAACAGACATTTTTTTCTGTAGTTTCCTTTCAGGCCCTTTCAAAGTTCTAGTTTTACAAAGAGAAGATCATCAATTTCAGCAAACTCTTCTGCACACAAACACGTACTTGTCTCATTGGAAACCTCATTCTCTGGGCACCAGACACAATCAAAGCAGCAGTCGGCTGTCTGATTCTGATGAGATTTCCTGAATCCAGGAGGGCACGTCACACTGCATGTAGAGGTGGGAACCTGAGGCAGTTAAAACAAGCATTGATGACAGACATGGGTTATACAAGCTTTTTTTATCCTGCACTATATATCAAATTCAGCATTTGAGCATTACCTATAAACCGGCAATATAATTGAAGGCCATATAATATCTAGGAATATTTTTATGTATAAATGTTTGGTTGAAGATATCAAAATTTGTTTATTCCTAAATTGATCCACCAGAAATACATGAGTGCCATAAATTGCATTTCAGTGTTTATAAATCCAAAGCAAGGTTAATGAGTTTTGTGGGAAGGAAAGCATGATCTAACAGTGAAGGGTTAGAAGATAAAAAATGAACAAACTATGTGGGAGACTATGAAAATTAAAAAAAATTAAATTAAAATGAAAGCCTAGTAAACAAAGAAATGTTCCTGAACACAGTTGCACCATAATCTTTATTATGCTGTGAAGAAGTACACACAGAATCACTACATTCATGTTTTATACCTAGTTACAATTTTTAAAATATTTTTGATATTTTTATTCTGTATACATGTTTCTCTGGTGTGGAGTGAATTGTAATGTGATTTTAGCTGTCAATGAAAGCCAGAGGCAAATACTCTCAGGACCTACACTTAAAGAAAATTGTGAGACATGACACAGGGATGCTATGAACGGATCTTGGATCCTTTGCAAGAGCATAAATTTTTCTTTCCCAATAAATCATAGCTCTAATGTCACAATTTTTATAATATAAACATACTAAAATATGAAAGTTATGTGTACACACCAGTGTTGATCCCATAGCCAAATCTAAATCTTCAGATATGTGAAGTTGTTGGCTCTGTGGCAAATAAGGGGAATAGCCTCCTATTTTCACCTTTAATCCAAAGCCTTGTGGAAAATTCCAAATGTTGAAAATGTCATACTCTGCACAGTGTTTTTTTCTCAGATTCATGTTCACCAATTCTCCTACAGGATTAGTGAATACAACATTCTCCAGCAAAGAAACCACCTAAGTGAGATGCATCATTAGATACTTACATATGCCCACCAGTAAGGCCAAAAGACATTGTGAATATTCTATATTTTTCAATATATTCCAGAAAAGGCAAGTATATTGAAGGTATTCTATCTAGTAAAAAATAAGATATCTCATGGCTAATTAAATTTGATTATACTTAATCCATGTTTCATGGTGGAAACTGTCTGAAAAAACATTAACCAAATATTGAGTAACATAGTACAACAGAACTGGATATTCATTACTTGTGTAAAAACTTCTAAAAACTAGGTAAGTGTAGATATTTTTACAGACATGTGTATGTGTACCAAAAATATTTTTTAAAAGAGAAGTCATAAACTTTACAGGAGTAAATTGTCTTCATGTTGTTGAAAGGAAGAGAGGGACTGGTAAACCAAGAAATGCATTTAATAACATGAATTCAATAAAAGCATTTATTTGTCCTTATTATTTGTCTACATAATGAATTGACACTTCATACAAGGAATTATCCATTACATTGACCAACACAGGTTTTGTTTTTTGAAAAACAATTTTGCTTCTAGTTGTCACATGAGTATTTTATAATAATAAAATCTTTGGTTACTCTTTCCAATACTGACCTCATTTAGTAAAATGTTAAGACACAGTCTCAGAAAAATAACAAATATTCATACAAAAATGTTGTCAGTCATTAAATTTTAGTGTAGTGCAGTCTATTTATCCCCAAAATTATTGTAATAAGATTTGTGCTATAGAAATCCTTGTATTGGGTGAATAATGTCTGAAAAATTTATAAGGAGTACTTGTGGTGCCATTTAAAAATACCATAATTTAAGTATGGTGGAAAGTAATATCCTTTACCTGCTGACAGTCATAGAATATCCCCGTGAGTTCTGATATTTGCTGAGACTCTATTTGTTGAAGAATAATTTCATGATAGGTATGAGCCACAGCATATACAGCATTGTATAAATTGTAACCTTCTTCACTTAGGACCATGTCAAATTCATGCTGTGATAACCATTCCAAAGAAGTATTGGATGAACAATGATTCATTGTTCTATAGTTTACATTAAAAACTGAACAATTAAAATAATTCCACTTCTTTCTCATCTGAGCAATGTCTACTCGGTATTTGGAAGTGTTCATTGTTTGCATAAAATTTCTAAATTTGGTAATCACACCATTGTGGTGTGAAAAAGTGACAGTCCCATGGAAGGTATCAAGGCTGAAATCTCTCTTACTTGTGGTGACATCCCATTGTGAGGTGGTGATCCAGATTCTTTCTACACCTAAATATACCCATCGTCTGAAGCTGGCTTCTAGGGTAGAGTTCATTTCACCATAAATGATAGCAACCTTTGCTGATGACGTCATGATTTGTTTATCATATAGGACAGCCCTTGTCAAGTATAACTGCATGCTATCTGGGATGACATTTGCAAAAGCTAGACAGAGTCCATTACTTTGCATCTCTTCTCTCAAGTCTGAGAGAAACTGAGTTCCCTGGTCATCATCGGAGATGACCAGCCCTATCCAGGTCCATGTAAAATAAAGCATCAGAGACATCATGGCATTGGACAAACACGTATCTTTGTGTGCTATCTGGTAGACATAAGGAAACCGGACTTTGTCATTCAGGATAGGATGAAATCGTCCAAAGAAAATCTGAAGGTTGAAAAACAGAGGAAGCAAAGTGAGAAACATGATTAGCTACAAGTTCTTATGTAGATATGAGTTGTGTTACTCACCTTCCAGAATTCCTGCAAAAGGCAATTAAGATTGCCTTGTAAGTATCATGCATTATGCTCAGGTGGTTCTATAAAATGTCTAACAAGTCTGGACATTCAACAAATGATCTTCTGTGTTTCTCCATTTCATCCACTTTTTAATACAGGGAAAAGTTAATGACATATCACTATCTGACTCCTTAATCCTCTAGAATGTATTGATCAGCACACACTAATCCATGCTGCCTGTTCATTCTCTGTATGAACTCGGGATTGGCATTGATAAGTTATTGCCTCTCCTATTTATCATACAGCCTCACCTTTGGTTTACGGGAAAAGGTCACCAGTTTTACAGATGTAGTCCATGACGGTCCTGTAAGGCCTACAAGACATGTAGACCCTCCACAAACATAATTAGGAAGTCCTCGATGAGTTTTTTTTTAATGAAATTATTACATCAAGATTCTTCAATGTATTAAAACACATGTCAGTAGCAAGAGAAAATAGCAAAGACATGTTGGGTAAAAGCTAAGGGTTTTTGTTGATCTCATCAGTAGCAAAAAGCAGTACAAGAACAAACTCATATTTCTGATCCGTTATTCTAAAAGAAGACATAAGAGAATTGTAAAGGATACTGCAAACATCAAATGTTCAAATATATTGAAGTGGACGTTTTAATATGCCCTCTCTAAATATCTGTATAAATTCTACTTATCCTAATATAAAAGTATAAATTAAGAGAATTTTAACAACAAAAGCATTATCAGAATTAATCAAAATGAGTCATGCTGATTGTCAAAATGAGTCATGCTGATTGAGAGTTTTATGGTTGGAAATCTATAAAGAGCTGGTTTGATCTCTGAGACTCATCTATGAAGTAGAACTAGACATTGAGTCTTCTACATATCTGTCCATCTTGGAATTCTCATTCTACAGAAACACGAAAAGCCCATGACTTGAACAGTATATCTAATTCGTGGTACTTTATGCTTTGTTTTTAATTATGAAAAAATATTAAAGGATTAAAATCTAATAGATTCATTAATTATATTTTCATTCATCTATATAAATTCTCTTGACACATAATCATACAATATATAATAAAATGTTATTTGGCTTTCATCTTCATGTTCTTCAGCATCATAAAAAGCTCATTAAAACATATTTGATAATATCTAAAATTAACAATAACATTTCAAATGACTGATACCAAATTATGGTTTGTTCTCTCATGCTATCACTTGTAAACTATTATTTGAAAATGTGACATTAAAAGAGCATAAAATATTAAAAGTGAATCACATATTAGTATATCTGAAGACAGAAAATTATACTTTCTGAAATGGAGTGAAGAAATTTAAAAAGCATCATATACCTGTAAGACATTGTTAAAGAATAAATTTTTACTCACAAAAGATTATGATTGATTTTGCTAATTTCATGCACAATCCAAAAAACCATCAATAATGACATTTCTATAAAGTTTGGAAGATGATATTTAGTACCTTCAACTTTAAATTTTTATCAAACATGTCATTTAAACTTATATAACCAGTCACATCATATATAGAAGACAATATAACACATCCTATGGCTATTATTTCATTTTTACTGTCTTTCATACATCAATTTTCTCTTATATTTTTGTGTGAATGTTACTATGTTACTATGTCAAATTGGTAAAACAAAACAGAAAATCCTATCAGACTAGTCTTAACATTACAGTCTTCCCAATTCTTCAGCATTCTTTTAGTGATGTCAGAACACTGGGACATTTTCTCCCTCTGAAATGTGTTCTTCTGTCTCAGCATAGTCTCCCAGGACTTCTGTTTCCATTAGCAATTGTCTCTCACCTGAAATAAAAATACCCACCATGCTCTTTTGCAAATTGCACTTGTCAATTGTAAATTTAGAGCTAAAAGAATTTTATCAAGCACCAAAGTGTATTGAGGAAGTTGATATACTTGTAAAAAATAATAATTATTGTTTTTTAAAAGAGTCACTAATGCTAATAGCTATAATATAAGAGGAAATCTAGAAACTAGATGTAAAAAATGAAGTAATCCAATTTAAAAATGTGCTATCCCCGGGTGCAGTGGCACACACATATAATCCCAGCACTCGGGGAGGCAAAGGCATGCAAATCTCTGTGAGTTCAAGGCTAGCCTGGACTACAAAGTGAGTCCAAGACAGCCAAGGCTACACAGAGAAGCATAAAAGGCCTCTGAAAGACTCTGCCTAGCAGTGTATCAAAGCATATGCTGAAATTGCTAACCAAACCTTGGGCAGAGTGAAAGAAACCATATGAAAGAAGAGAGAGTTAGTAAGACCAGGAGAGGACAGGTACTCTACAAGGACCAAATATATCTGGGCACAGGAGTCTTTTCTGAGACTTATTCTTCAACCAAGGACCATGCATGGATATAACTTAGAACCCCTGCTCAGAAGTAGCCCATGGCAGCTCAGCATCCAAGTTGGCACCCTAGTAAGGGGAACAGGGATTATCTCTGACATGAACTCAGTGGCTGGCCCACCAAAAGGGAGGAGCAGCCTTTCTAGGCCACAGAGGAGGACATCACAGCTGGTCAAGATGAGACCTGATAAACTAGGGTCAGATGGAAGGGGAGGAGGACCTCCTTTATCAGTGGATTTAGAGAGGTGCAGGGAGGAGATGAGGGAGGAAGGGTGAGATTGGGAGGGAATAAGAGACGGGGCTACAGCTGGGATATAAAGTAAATAAACTGTAATTAATGTAAAAAATAAAAATTATAAATAAAAAAGAAACCTGACATAAAAAAAGTAGTACAGATCTAAGTGGAGAATTATCAATAGAGGAAACTCAAATGGCTGAGAAATGCACACCATCCTCAGTCATCAGGTAAATGCAAATCAAAACATTAGTGAGATTCCATTGTATACCTCCTAGAATGGCTAATACCAATAACATAGAAGACAGCCCATCATAGAGTGGATGTGAAATAAGGGGAACACTCACTCAATGTTGATGGACACATAAACTTGTTCAGATGCTCTGAAAATCAACATAGTAGTTCCTCATGAAGATGGGGATAATTCTACCTCAAGATCCAGTTATAAAACTCTTGGGCATATAACTAAAGAATGCTTCATCCTACCATAAGGACACTTGCTCAAATATGCTCATTGTTGCTCTATTCATAACAGGCAAAAATTGAAAACAAACTATGTATATTTCAATTAAAAATATATTTAAAATGTGGTACCTTTACACAATGGAGTATTACTCAGCTGTTAAAACATGATATCAAAAAATTTGTAAGCATATTGGAGGAACTAGAAAAAAATCATTCTGGATAAGATAATTCAGACGCAGAAAGATACTTATAGTCTGTACTCAATTATATATGGATATTAGCTGCTAAATAAATAATAACCAACATAAAACCTGTAGACCCAGAAAGGGTAGGTATGAATATAAAGTAACTAGCTGAAACACATGGATCTCATTGAAAGGTGGAAATAGAATGAATATAATGGGTAGACTGGCCATGGAGTAATGGGACCTGGAGAATCTGGTTGATTGGGTTGAGGTAAGAAATGTGTGTGTGTGGGGGGGGGGGAATAGAATTAGAATCAGAGGGAAGGGGAGGAGGACCTCCCCTATCAGTGGACTTGGGGAGGGGCATGAGAGGAGATGAGGGGGGAAGGGTAGGGTGGGGAGAGAAATAGGGAGTGGGCTACAGCTTGGATACAAAGTGAATAAACTGTAATCAATAAAACAATAAATAAATTAAAAAATTTTTAAATGATAAACCTATTCTAACTAACCATTTGAGCATTTTCCCCATGCTTGATTAGAGGCCTAGCGAGGCTGGGCAGGCAATGAGAGTGGGGGCAGTCCATGAACAAAAGACAGGAACAAAAGGAATATTTCCTGTACCTAAAGGAATGAGATTACAGAACACCAAAAAGATTGGACCAGGAAAAGTCCAATAATAATAATAATCATTATCATCATCATCATCAAAACACTAAATATTCAAAATAAAGAAAGAATATTAAAATCTGCAAGAGGAAAAGAAAATTAACAAAGAAAGGCAGATTCTTTAAACTTACACTGGACATTGCACTTGAAACTCTGAAAACCAGAAGGGTCTGAAGAGATGTCCTAAAGATTCTAAGCAATCTCAAATGCCAGCTCTGAATGGTAAACACAGGATACATTCCCATTACTATAGAAAGAAAAAGAAAACCCAAGATATTCCATGATAGTCAAATATAAGCAGTATCTATCCATAAATCCACCCTACAGAAGGCACTTGAAAGAAAACTCCAAGCCAAGATTAACTACACTCATAAAAACAACAACAAAAATATCACCCCATCAGAACACACACACATATACACACACACCACAACACACCAAAAATTTCAAAATAATAAGAATTAACAGTCTCTGTTGTCTTATATCTCTTGATGTCAAAGGACTTAATTCTACAAGAAATGGAAACAGGCCAACAGAATATATGTGAAAACACAATCCATCCTTTTGCTTACAAAATCATACCTCATGCTGAAAGATAGACATTAACTAAGGGTAAAGGATTGGGAAAATTTTTCCAAACAAATGGACATAAGGATAAAGCTGGTGAAACAATTTTAATGTCTAGAAATAATAAAGTTTAATCCCAAATTAATAAAAAATTGAAAGGGAAGAACACTTTATATGCATCAAAGGAAAACCCACCAATATGATATGTCAATTCTTGTCATCTATGCCCCAAATGCATGGGTACACATGCTTCCTCTCTGCAAGGTATCAAAGCAGAGGCTGAGACTCATAGCCAAACATAGGGCAGAGTCCAGGGACTCTTATGAAAGAAAGGGGAGATAGAAATACATGTAGGATACAGGAACTCCACAAGGAGAGCAAAAGAACCAAGGAATCAGGGCACAGGAGTCTTTTCTGAGACTTCTATTCCAAACAAGGCCCTTGCATGGAGATAACCTAGGACCCCATGGCCACTTAGTCTCCAAGGTGGCTCAGTGGCTAGTTCTTTGATCACCTCCTCCTGAAGGGGTAACAGCATTACCAGGCCAAAGAGGAAGAAAATACAGCCAGTCCTGATGAGACTTGATAGACCAGGGTCAGATGGACAGGGAGAAAGAACTCTCTAATCAGTGGACTTGGGGAGGGGCATGGGAGGAGATGAGGGAGGAAGGATTGGATTGGGAGGGATGAAGGAGGGGGCTCTAGCTGGGATACAAAATGAACAAACCGTATTCAATGAAAAATTACTAAAGCTTAAATCACACATCAACATTCACATCAATAGTGGGGGACTTCAAAACACCACTCTGACCAAAAGATATGTCATAGAGACAATAACAACAATAACAACCATACCGCTGGAACCAACAGATGTTATAAACCAAATGAACTTAATGGATATATATAGAGAGAGAGACCATTTCACCAAAACAGCTAAGATTACATCCTTTTATCAACATCTCATGGAACTTTCTCCAAAACTCAACTCATAATCACTCACAAAGCAAGTCTCAACAGATAAAAAAAAATCAATAAAATAACCCATTCATCTTATGAGAACACAACAGATT